CTTGAAAGTATGGCACAACCTTGATCTGTTTAAGAGCATGTTTGCAAAATTAACCATAGTCTTGAAAAGATAATAAATGGTTGCCACAATCATATTATTCTAAAAATTCCCTAATTTTTCCCTGAATTTTTCTTGAAAAATAATAAAATTTTCATGACTAAGTGTCAATTAGCAATTTCATTTATGAGTACTGAACTTTGAACCTTCCCTCACAACCATCCTCTCCACCTTTAAAATTTATACCTTTAGCATGTTACATACAGTTTAAATGAACTGACAGTTCCTCAGAGTAACATGGAAATGGATTGATTTTCTTGGAAACAAAACATCAGCTTATTATGCAAATTTATTTTCCAATGTACCAATCCAACAACTTTCATGTCCATGTAATGTACCTGATAATTTAAAATGTTAATAAACAATGAAAATAGAAGGAAAAGAAAATGTATGATTTCATTCACAAATGAACTTGAACTTACATTACAAAGGGAAACGATGTAGTGGTCAGCAGTCTGTCAACTGGACACAAGGAACATTGCCAAGATTAACAACTTCATATGTTATTTTCTTGAAATTTAATCTTTTTTTAAATTTCAAATTTTCTGTGACCTGTGGCAGTAATAATTTCCTTTAAATCTTTGAACAGCAGAAAAATGGCACCAAGAAAGAAGGCATTATAGTAAGTGCCAAGATTGCAATGGAGGCCATGTTGTTTCATCAGATCACACTGTCTCAAGAATAGGAACTGTACAGTCAAAATGTCCCAATCCTTGCACATATCTTGAGGTAAATGTGGAACACAGAATCGATTCAAACATCTTAACCTAAGCCTGTTAAATCATGCATTAAATTATACACAAGGCTGCAAAATGGCTATAAAACAAATTTGTCCAATTTTACCAAAATTCACATAAACTCAATCAATTAAATGGCTTGAAAGCCTGGCACCTACTTCTAAATTTCAGAGTATCAAATTGAAAGAATAAAATAGTGCAAATTACAGAAATGATAGAATGAATATTTAGATTGATATTAGGAGAACCAGATCATGTGTGCTATTGTTAGTGTCAACCGATACATCAACTGATACATGACAATGCTCATCAGACTTTTAATTCTCAACTTCTCTCAGTGACTACCCCACTCTGGAAGATTTCCTCTGAACAGATGCACAATAACATTGACTCTATTTGTCATGACACCATCTCCATAAAACCGTGCGCATCCATGCAAATTTGGCTATAAGAGAGGATTAAGAAGAATGTACAGACAAGAAACTGCAAGAAACTGGTCACAGCACTTGGGAATAAAGACATTTTTAAACTTTCATTAACTTTTCCAATAATGTTATCCTATTTTCTTACAAAGTGGCTTGGCTGGCAGTGAGTAAATATGAGTGAAGTTTTAGGCATGCTTTAACAGCCCCTCAACCAAATATCAACTGATAATCAACTCATACTTGGTAAAGTAGCAGTGAAGTGTCAGTGAAGTGTCCAAGACATGTCAGTGGAGAATATTGACAAATTTTGATCAAGATATCACACAACTGTCAACTTGTATAAATTTGGTTTTTAAAAGACAAATTTAAACTTTCTTTACCAGCCTAGTGAAATTTCCATGCAAAAATTTCAGCAAGCTCATCCACTGAGAACACATCAACAAATCTCAAACAGTGCAGAAAGTTGAAATTAAGTGCAGAAAGCTGAAGTAGAGTGACAACAAATTTTAATTACATTGACCAACAAGAAAGTTGCAAAAGCTCATTAAAACCAAGTAGCAGATAGGTTAGGAGAATAAAACAACATTAAAATTCAGAGTTTGAAAGAGAATGCTTGGAGCAAAAACAACTCACACAGCAAAAAAATCAACTGGCTTGAAGTCTGGTAGTCTTTGTATTTCAAAGATGGCACCAAAGTTAAATAGAAAAGAACAAACCAGGGACCCTCAACAAAATTTTCTGAGGGTTTTATACAACAGCTCATAAGAAAGAGAGGGAGGATTACAAGCCTGAGCCACTGTGCAATGCTAACTGCTATTGACAGTACATAACAGAGAAAGAGTACAAATGCTCGATTACATTATTTGTGACAGAAAAATGTTTGCATGTATATCATCAACAAGAAATCCCATGCATTCTCTTGAGCAATTTGGGAAAAATCAGAAATGGTAAATTTTCAAAGACTGAAAATTATTATTAAGTCTTTGTCTAGTCTTTGTGTGGACAGAAAGTACATGTATATGTGCAAAGTAATGTGATAGAATACTGCAGAATATTTTGGAATATGCGCGTGTTTAGTCATGTTCATGGTGATTTCATGTTCACGGTGATTTAAAAGACTTTTCAAGACTATATATACTCATCATATTACAGACTTTACAACTGGTGCTTACATCAAGCTGTTGATGTCATTTCTCAAATAATAAAAATTAAGCTGTGTGTTGCAGAGTACAAGTACAGTGATTACCTTCGTACGCGAATTGACGAAAACAAGCACCGTGCTATTAGTTGTTTTCCACTGATTGCAGAAACCGATCGATATTTATTTTAGTTATATAAACAAGGCTACTTGGTAAATTTTGGATCGAACAAGGCAAGAGCTGAGACAAAACAAAACAATTCAGAGACGCTGTGGGGAGAATCATGCCGTTTAAGCACAAGTAAAGGCTGGGGAAATGTACTTGACGAAGTCGTAACCTAGCCAGCCCTTGCTCCACTGCGGAAGTGATTTCATTTGTTTGCTTCGGTGATCTCGCGCATTGCCTAGTGTTCTCCTTTTCAGGCAGTAACCGGTAACATTTACCGCCTGTAGTACCTCTTATTACCGTTTAAAATTGCTTGGAATTCTTGAAAATTCAACAGGTAAAAGGATTGCTTTACCGGTTTGAAAATTTATTTTACCTGTCATCATAGTTAATCGATTAACTATGCTGTCATGCTTAAAATAAGGCAGAACCATAGCCATAGTCCCCTCGATTAACTATGGCAGAACACTGAAATTGCCGTAAATCAAATTGAACATAAACTCTCTGAAAGAGAAAATCACTATTACTAAGCCTTATGTATGAGCACATATACCTTAAAACTTTGAAAAACCAGTCGTATACAACTTTGCAGATCGAAGGTTCCTCAAGTACAACATTTACCGAACACTCTCGTGAAGCATGTTGTCCCAGCCCCTGCGCGATCAAGTCTTTCCGTCTCTGCCCAATCCAGTTGAACGATTCATAACCAGAGCCCTATTCCGTGTTGCTAATCATAGCATGCAAGTGATGCCAGTGGATTTTTCTTTCTTTTTTCATTATAAAATAAAAACAAGCGGCACAAATTTGGATGGAAGCGGTTTACAATGGGGAGGAATGGGAGGGGTCTAAGAGGGGATGAGAGGGGATGAGCGGGGGGAGGGGAGCTGAAGACCTGGCGTTTCCAATTCCTCCATAAGAACTGAAAACCCAGAATTTCTAAACGATTTAGGAGGCATGTGAGAAATTATCTAAACCCCTGTACGGTGAATGATTCAATTCAAAACAAGACAAACCGGATTGATATGGGGTCCACTGAGAGGAAGTATATTACAATTATTTATTATTATTATCATTTGAATGATTATGTATCTGCACCCCCACTCCCTTAATCCTCGTCACGCTTACTCCGCACCCCTCACTTCAACCTTCCTCAGGCGTTTTGATCCATCCAACAAGTTACGCCTTTCCCGATTGTGCTCGTAGAATGCTGGAAAATTGCTAAATGAAATGCCAAGACATTATTGTTCCCTTATTTTGTAATGCTCGCGAGGGGAAGGCGACTAATTCACAAATGTAAAGTGAAAAATGCGTATTGACCTTGATAAGTCGCGAGCATTTAAGTTCGCTGTCGCTACGTGGCTTTTTGAACAGATGGCCAAGCTGAATATTTCTTTGTTGCGGGAAAAATATTACTAGTGCTTGCTAGAGTATGCATAAACTACACTGATTTTACGAAAAACAGTTTGATTGTATTTGTAGCTAACAGCTATTGGCTCGTCGTGATTTTGAAATGTCCTGCTTGGTTTACTCTTGGCTAATTTCGTTGCAAAAGTTAGCCAACTATTGGCAAGATGTCAGAAAAAACCCATACGTCATTACGCATATAGATCTAAAAAAAATGAGACAATAAAAAAATTATAAAAGTTTACATTCTGGACTAATGTTTTGTTTTAGAATAGTGCAAGGTTGTATGGAAATCTTTCCCTTTAAGTCTAAGTTCAAGAAACAAGCAAACTATCTTTGGTTATCATTTTCATAAGCCAGACAAGCATTTTACTCACGGGAGAGACTATCAGGGTCATCTCCTTACAATACCTGTTAATACATTTTTAAGCAGAGGGTTGATAGGAAAAAAAATAAAACTCTACCATGGGATTTTGTGTGATCTAATGCTAAATTCTCATAGCCAAAATTATGAGAAATGTTTGTCAGAGAGTTGGGATTATTGATATTTAGATCTTGGGAGTGAAAGGGAAAATTATTTGTTAGAAAAGAAAAAATATTGTTATTGGCCTTCAGTGAAGATGCTTATTATCAAAACCAAATAATGGATAATAAAATAATGTTTGTAGAGAGTTATTGTTCTTTATGAAGTAACTGAGATACTATTAGCACAAGACTACTAAAAAAAAAACCAATCATTTATTACACAAATAAACCTGTAGTTTTTTATTTAAAACAATAAACCACACTTTCTATCAGTTTACAGGTGTAATAACTTAGGCAAGGTGTTGGGAGAACACAAGAATAGTTTATAAATCATTTGCTTCTCGCTTGAATTATTTAAGGGGTAAATTGATGGAAAGTGCAGCCTATTGGTTGAAAAACAAATAAGGGGGGTTAGAATGGGTAGAAAAAAGATTGATTGTTTTTATTGACTTTAAACACTATAATCAATTTTTAAGATTTACTGATGTACTTTTACATAAGTCCTCAATGGTTATTAGATATTTCTTTTATTGGTCATGTTTTTACAGCTACTTTATTGATCACACTACACACAAGACAACATGGGAGGACCCCAGGTTAAAGAGGCCAGAGGCAATTCCTTTGACTCAGTTTAAGGTAAAATCAACCATGATTTAAAACAGTATTTGATTAATGGTCATAGATTTAAACTTAAACAAAAAAAGACCAAAGTAAATCGGAATTAGGAATAAATAACCAGCAGCTAATAAGAGCTCACTGTACTAAATGATGTTGATTGATTGGAGTGAAGTGCAATTCAGAATCTAGAATCACTTGTGAGATTTCAAAATTACTTACAAGATTTCAAAATAATCAGGGCCCAGTTGTTCAAAGGCTGATTTAAGTGCTTTCCCAGGGTTAAATTTTAATCCAGGTTTCTATATTTCTTTTTTCCAAAGCCTTTTAGAGAAAATTTACCCTATTCTTTTTAGAACATCCAATGATCAAATTGCAAGCAAAAAGATATGAACTGAATTTTCTTTTCAAGCTTTCAGTCCTGAAATCAAATTCCATGCTAACCCTGGGTTATCTTAACCCAGATTTGAACAACCCAGGCCTAGCAAATTTTCATATCTAACAAGCCAACAAATGTTTAGTTAGTTAACTTGAAATTCTAAGTAAGATTTCAGACCTAAATTGTAGAACATGAAGTTCAAACACCACCTGATTACATTCACTTGGAAATCACATAATCAAGGTAACACCAAAATACAGTTTTGTGTTGAGGACTCTGGTCAGTTGCAATATTTTAATAGCTGGTTTATGAAAAACTTGGCATGGGCAAAAGTTGCCATTTATGATAAAAAAAATTGTACGTCACAATTTATGAATGAATCAAACTTGTTAGAGCCAATTTGAGTGTAAAGATTGCCATTGAGTTCAAAATGGATGTAATATTTGCACCAAACTTAAATTTAAGTTTATTCCTACACTATTGGTAGGAGTTTGGAAAATCAAGAAAACAAGAATAAATTAGTTGAATTAAAAGTGCTCATTGATACCATGGGGATTAAGAGTGCCAGTTTGAAAGATAAATTTTTGTTTTAGAGTTTTGTGGCTTTTCCAACTGCCAAGATGTAGGGAAAGGCTGCAAACTGCCATATGCTGCTTAGAATGATTAGAGGGGGTAGCTCCATTTTCTGAATATAAACCCACACCTACACATACCAGGACAATAACTGATAGGACACATACAGCATGTAATTAGTGACACAACATTTTCTGCGATCAGTTGAATCTGGCTGAGATTGATTGTTGGAAATAACAGCGAACTCATGAATTTATTCAATGCTTTTTTTTCATTTGGTTTTTGCTCCACCTGATCATGGTAGCACTTCTAATTGCCTTCACTGACTAAACATAATGTTGAATACAAATTGTGTGAGTTAAAATTAAGCCTTAACTATAATCTTTAACAACTAAAGTTACTTGATATCATCAAAGCTTCACTGAACCTTCCCCTAAGTTGTTACAAGAGTGCGTGGAGGAAATTTCACCTTCTTTACGCAGATAATTTGATTTTTCTTAAGAGCGGGGGGCTTTTCTTGAAAATGGAAAGATGCTAATCTTGACCCTGTTTATAACAGTGATTCATAGTCTCTAGGGTCTTACTATGAAAGCTTGTGCTTACTATGAAAGATGTGCTTTCTAAATTACTGCAAAGGCAAGTTTATAGTCTGGTATTATATCCCCTTATATTACACAATGGCAATATGGTCTTTTGCCAGGCAGATCAACTATGTCTCAATTAACCCAAGTAGTTCATCAATTTGCTAGGGTTCTTGAAATGAGGCGACAATTAAGTAGATGTCATTTATTTCGATTTTTCCAAGGCATTTGATCAAGTGCCCCATAAAAAACTTTTGTTTATGCTCAAGTGCCTTGGTATCAAGGGTTCTCTGTTAGCTTGATTTAGATCTTATTTATCTGGTAGAAGACACAAGGTTGTGATCGATAATTTGGCATCTGATTTTCTTCCAGTTATATCTGGAGTCCCCCAGGGATCTCTTCTAGGACCCCTGCTCTTCTTGATCTACATAAATGACATGCCTGGTGTAATTTGAGGGGATACATCACTACACTCTTCGCTGATGATTCTAAGTGTTTTCATGTAGTTCTTGGCCAAGATGATGGTGATAAATTACAGGAAGACTGAAATAAGTTATTTGAGTTGTTATGCCTTTGGGGAATGGAGTGCAATGTCAAAAAGTGTAAGGTTGTAAGGGTGGCATGCTTTAAATGTATCTATGAGAGAGAGTATTTTCTTGGTAAAACTAAGTTGGAACATGTTCCTGTTGTAAAAGATCTAAGTATTTTGATCAGCTACAATTTGAGCCAGAATCACTACATTGATACTATCTCTTCCAGAGCCCAAAGAATTCTTAATTTGCTCTAAAGGACATGTGAAGATATAGCTGACATTAGGACTAAAAAGTTACTTTACATTACGCGGGTGCAGTCACCCTACACTAAAACAAACATTACCAACTTAGAACAAATTCAATGCAAGGCCACAAGATTCATTCTTGGCAAGGAGTTTACTGAATACAAGTGCCTTTAGTTGGTAAATTAAATTTCTTACCTTTACCATATGTTAGGGTAATTCATGATTAAGTGTTCTTTTTTAAATCTTTTAAGAATCTATATGATTTGGATATTTTTGGCAATGTATAGTTTCACTCTTGTAACGAGCCTTTGAGAAATATTGATTATTTAAAACTTGATTTCCCTTTTAGTCGTACAGAAACTTTTAAGAATTCTGTTTTTACTTGAGTTTGTCAGGCATGGAACAAATTACCTCTCAGCATCAGGGAATCTAACACCTTACCAGTCTTTCACTAGAAATTGTTTAATTATCGTTATGATAAGTTCAGTGCCAATTTTTATTGGAAGAAATTGGTTAATAATTATTTTTATGATAACTTCAGTGCCAATTTTTTTATCCTATTTATCTTATTTCTATCAAGAGTTTGGAGGTTTTTTTTGTAAGTTTGACTTGTTCAATGTAATTAATTTGGAATTTGTATTAAAGTAGGAAGATTAGTAGTATAAAAGTGGAAACATCACGATCAATACAACTGATAGCCTGATTTTAACATCATGAGACAAACCAATAAATGTTTACCTATCTAAGAGTATTTGATTTCATTTCTTTCCAGATTCAAGCTCAAATATGTATTTATACAAGTTCCTTTTTCGAAGTGAAATTTATGTAGAGCTGCTAAAACTACCAGAAAAAGGTAGGTGATAAAATTTATTGTAATCATTGAAAAGTCTCCTTAATTGCCCAGTTTGAATTTAGCCACTGACTCTCTCTCTCCTTTGTCTTTTTATCAGACTGTAAATTTTACTTTACATGTACACATCTATCCAAATTGTCTAATATGAATAGCATTAATTTTTTTTTCAGTCAGAGTCCAGAGTTCATAGCATGTCTAAAAGCAGAACAGGATATTGGAGTATGAAAGAATGGTTTCAAATATTGAGCGAAAGGTAATGCATGATCCTGAAAATTTCTTGATCAAGGAAAAAGATTGCTCTTGAAACATAATTTTTTTACTGCCATGAAAGAGTATAAACCATATTTCCTCAAATAAGCACCTGAACAGTTATTCATAATTTTGGATAAAAGGAGGGGCCCTTATTGGAAAGAGGGCACTTAATCAAGGAGTGGGAGCTTATTATTCTCTTGTACTGATTCTGCTTTTGATGAAGCTAGATACAAATGCTAATTTTCCTTCTGTGATACCTTAAGTCATTGAAAACTTACTTTCAGATAATTTTTATGTCATTTTCTCAATCCTGGGATGCCTAGTGTCTTTGTCTGCATCTTAACAGTTAGGGAGTCATTTCTGGTAGGGCTGAGACATTGGGGCACAGGGGAACCAAGCAAAGACAAATTCTTGAGAAGAGACCACTATAAAGACTTTGACCTTGTAAGCAATTTTTTTTCTTAGGGTAACCTGACAATATTAATGTGATTCAAACCCATGTCTCCAAGATACTAATTGGGTGCCACTACAAACTGTACTTAAGAGCCACAGGTTGGGAGTGATATAAATTTTGGTAAGTTCTGGTTGTCCTGTGGTGGAATCTGATAGAAAATTAATAAAATAATTAATGTTGGAGAAATGATCCTTTCAGGCAAGTTGTACTTTAAGCTCAGTCTTTTTCTCTGCAATATCACTTAAATCTGGTCAACATTTGGTTGATTTCACTGTTTATTTCCTGGCTGTGTTTTGTGTTAACTCATACCTGTGATTTAGTTCTTTCCTTGAACAAATGCTAAAACACTGACTCTTATTTTTTATTTCAGTTCACTCTGATGGCAAACAGTTGTCCTCAATGATCAACTTCCTGTTATCCATAATTGCAACATTCACATTTGGTTACATTTCGTCACAGTAAACCTTTCCTTCCATTGCTGTGGTATGTAACTTAAGGTGTTATGCAACAATATTTAGGTCTGGGATAGAGGGTTAGACTGTGAAACAAATTTTAAGGAAAAAAAGACACAAACTAAACAAAGAGATAAATTAAGGATGGACCCTCATTATGATTCTAAGAGGTTTTAATATGTCCCCCCACAGGTGAATGGTACTCTTTGTACATGCTAATGGGATGGTTTGGAAGTGATAAGCAACTACTATTCACCTCTGAGAACCCTAAGGAACAAATTAGAATCATGACACCAAGAGTTCAATTACTGGCCATTTCTTGGTTTGCTGGTAGAAACACACTAATTTTTTTGCTTTCTGTGTTGTTGTGGTGTTTACTAATTATAGAAACAATTATTCACCCAGGTGTCTGTAAATGGGGTGGATATGTACAGAGCCACAAAGCTGCCTGTAAAATATCCTCCATGCTCAGAGAGATGGGCTTCTGCTTCTGCTTCTGCAAAATCCCTCTGGAACAAGTTAAAGCTCGCCAGAGTGAGAGAGGGCTGTGAAGTTAAGATTAACTTAGACCCAAAATCATGGCCTCTACCTTCAGAAAACGTCTTCAGATGCAACTTTCAGTCAATTGCAGTCTAAAATTAACCTTTGAACCCTTGTCAACGAAAATGGAGAATTTAAAGGGAATTTTAATATGACAGTTCAGCTAAAAGGCAGTGAACTGAGTAATCCATGACCTGGTTGGAATCAAATAACAAACCATAATTGTTTCTTTTTGTTTCAGCGAGTGATTATTAGAGTTTTGCTGGCATTTATCAGAGCAATTGCTGAACTGTTTTTCATGGCTAAAGTTGAGATTTGATTGAGATAAAAATTAGTTTTCAATTCAAAATAAAATGTTTTTTTTGCTGTAAATGATGAAATGGAAGAAACATCTAATCTGAAATGTTAATGGTAGTTGCACTTGACAAGTGCATGTGAGCTTAAAGTGATGTTGCACTGAATACTATTTCCTCCATCTTTTGTTGTGGCACCAATTTTATATTAAGAATAGAAATAACATTATATTTTGGTGTAAATATGCATGCCAAGTGGGGAATGAAAGAGAAATTCAGATACCACTATGGAAGTGGGATATACTAATAAAGAATACATTCCTATAACTCTTCATATTTTATATGAATATGTGATTTTTTTTTGTCCGACATACTTTTTTTATGTCGAAAAGTAGCATCAAAACAAAGACGGTTTTAACAATGACCGATATGACAGAATCTACTGAGCTTCTAGCTTTTAAAAGACAAAAGGATGGTTATAAAGTTACTGTAAAAATTTCCTTGTGTATTTGTGTTGTTCTATCGTGAGACGAACTCAAAGTCCGGCAAAATTTACTTGCTACCGACATACGGAATACACACGGAAATTTTTACAGTAACTTTATAACCGTCCTTTCGTCTTTTAAAAGCTAGAAGCTCAGTAGATTCTGTCATATCGGTCATTGTTAAAACTGTCTTTGTTTTGATGCTACTTTTCGACATAGAAAAAGTATGTCGGACAAAAATATTCACCAAAAAATAAATATTTCTTTGCCAGCTTCAATAACGACTAGGGATTTTTAAGTTTAGATGATAAAACAAAGGATCATGTTGACAGAAATACTGGAGGTCAAGTAAATTCGTGACATGAGGTCACACAACTCGGGTAATATTCACGGTGAAAATTTGCATATTTGAGCGGTCGAACGAAAAAAAAATCATTTTTCGAAAACTAAAATATATTTTCATAAAAAAACTACACCACAAATATTTGGACATATTGGGCTACAAAATATGAAAGTAGGAGTGAAAGCAAATTTTGGATGACTAGCTGCTGTTTGTCTGAAGCATGTTGAAATTAGCACTCAATACGCCCCAACCTTTCTGCGTAAAAATTAAAACATTAAAGTTCTTGATTCTAACCTAAAATAAAATGTAATCTCGAGTCATCCTACAAGTAAACTAGTGACATTTTCATCGCCCGTTGTTATCACTTGACATTCTATGACGTTAAGCAATGTACGAAGCAGCTACAGTGACGTGAAAATTAGGACAATCATTCCTTCTGTCAGTGCGCATGACTGTGTCCTTCACTTAGTGAATGAACCTGGCGTTATCGATAAGAAAACCCGACCCGAGGCAACTCTCGTTCCACCATAGAGCGTACACTGTCCCGATCGCCCAGTGGATTGCCACTTAGGTTCAAATGCTTCAGCCTAGGAATGAATTTCAAATCCTCCAACAGGTCACGTAAGTCCCGTTCATTTAAATTTAAACGCTTGAGAATTACCGTTTCCAATCTGGATAGAAAACGAAAACCTCTTGCGCTAAAATTGGAGAATTTAATCCGTTGAGAAACCAGAGATGTTCTGTCAGATCCTGTAGGTGGTGCCTCAATCTCGTTTGTTTCTCTTCTTGGCCCACATAACGAGAGGCTACTTAGGGACGACATTTCAGAAAGGGCGGCGGCTAAGTCTGGAGTCAGTATTATGCCATGCAGTACCAGCGTATTAAGAGCCTGGGGCATGATACTACAAACAAGTTTGTTTACTGCTTCAGCACAACAATCTTTCAAGTTCAGGCTAAGGCCGGTGAGGTTAATCTGTGGTAACAAACCAGCGAGCTTCATTACGTCGGCAGACGTCAGTGACGGCCCGTCTGAATGAAGTAAGTTTATGGAATCACCAAGCCGCACCCAACACGTACGAGGGTTTGGTACGTTTTCAATAAGTTCACAAATACTTTCAGTTGTAGGCCTCAAAGCAATGTATTTAAAATTCTTACATTCTCTAAAAATGGTAACAAGACATTTCACTGTTTGTTTGTTGACAGGTACAGTAATGACAAGTGCACTTAAAAATTTCAAACACAATTCTTTGGTTGACGAACTTGTTGAGTGAGATGGAGTAGAAGTCGTACAAGTGTCATAAAATACTCCAGCATGGTCATTACAATGCAGGTACAAACGAGTGATGTAAAAAAACGCCTCGCCGTTATGGTAATGAAGAATGCAAGTAAAATCACACTCCATAGAAAACGAAGCACATGTGACAGCATCAAACCTTCTTAAAAATTCCCCAACTGCGACAGCCACTAAATTCTCAGTCATCCTAAGGGGAACGTCTAAACAACCGAGAAACTCGATCGACTCGTATATTTTCTTCACTTTAGTAGAACGGAAACTTGCCTTCCCCAACCAAACCACACCATTTAGAGTAATTCCATTTAAATTTCTCCGTTCAACTACAACTTCACGAACTGATCCTCTCCTAATAAACATGATCCCCCCAGTGCAATTTAAATAATGTCTTAGAACTTCAGGTTTGGATTTAACTTCACCAAATGCACTATTAACGAAGGTAATAAAACTCTGGTGCTTCAATGCAACGTTACGCAGTGGCTCGTCTGTCCCATCAGGTATCGTTTTTGAAAAATCCAGCTCTGGGTCAGAAATTCTAACCGATTTCAAACGTTCAAAAACTCTCACTGCTCCATCATCAGACAAACCGCAAACAAATTGGAAAACATTTTCTAAGGATCTACAGTCATCCAAAGTTCGGGTGCGGACAATAATTTCACCGAGATGTCCTTCAGGGACACATCTGTAGGTAATATAGCACGCTGCTAAGAACTCTTGTAAGCTCTTATGAATAAACGATACCGTCCCTGCTGGTCGAAGATTCTCTGGGTACTCACTGACTTGAAGTAAGCCTATAATCCGACTTTCTTCACTAATCCGGATGGCATGGGACAGTCGATCATACTCGAATACATGATCGTCCTTCAAAAGACATTCTAAAGCCACCTTTCCAATTTCAGCCAGAATCTCTTTAAAGTCTTCAACTTTGCGAAAGTTAGCAGAAGGACATTTCGCTGCATTATGATTCAAAACGTATTGAACGATTTCAATGTACAATGTTGTTTTGGAGTCAAAAAAGCTCTGTGCGCTTCCTTTTTTCCACAAAGTGCAAAAGAACAGGAGAAGTAACGGAACTCTCGCCAGATCGTTCAGGTTTCGCTGGTAAAGATGACGCAATAATTCGTCGGCTTCTGTTTCGCCACCAAGCATTCTCTTCATGAAGGCCTCTCTGTCCTTTACACTGAAACCAGTGATCTCAGCATTCACGTCCTTACATTTTTTCAGCTCGTCAGCTTTGGAAATTCGAGTTGTTATCAACACATAACAGTCCCTCAGTTCATCTCCTCTGAATATCTCAAAGATTTCAGAGTTGGTTCCATAGTGATACTCGTCGTAACCATCAAAAACCAGGAGAACTTTGTCTTGGTTCTGGGTGATGTAACGCAGCAGGCCGTCCCTCATGGTTCTGTCCTCATTGGCAAAAATATAGGAGGCGCTTATGATATCTCTGAAGCTTTTGTGTTTGGATACTTTCTTGAGATCAATAATAACAGCAAGCTCGAACTTCTTCAGGATAGCTCTCTGTTCATCTGTCAACCTGTTTTCGTCAAGTTCAGCCCAGTCCATAGCCAGTTTCTTCACAAACGTACTCTTTCCGATTCCAGTCTCCCCTTGCACGAGTATCCTGTTTGATGGCAATCCGTTCTTGTTTTCAGTGAACAAATCAGTGTAGTGATTCAGCCCTGGCCGTGATGACCCAGCTGGGGTTTGTTCCTCTTTCACCAAGGACAGTGGAGTGTAGATCTCGTGAATATTCACGGCACAATTATTGGTCCACCCAGAAGTGGGCACCGTGGCGGTTCTTTTGTAATGCTCTGCGAGTTTACGCCGGCAGACTTTTACATCAAAATGATTTCTGGGTACGTCTGGTATGCCTGTTTCAAGAAAACAAAATCCAGAAAAAAAAATAAAATAGCGAATGTTCACACATGATACCTTTCAATGGAATTTACAATTTACGGCTGATTGTTAACAGCTTAGTTTCAGTGAAACGTTAGGGCTTAAGGTATGACGTCAAAATCTTTAAAAGGACAATTAAACCAACTGTTACAATACCCCCGCCGCATCCACCCACAGTTTGTTTCCTTCTTAATTACATATTTTCAAATTCAATTCAAGTTTGTAATCATCATAATATAAGGATACTACCTGTGGGCAATTCATGGAGAAAGCCAAGTGTCTAAAGACCGAGCTTTATTGAATCTCTCCCTTGCCTAGAGCAAGCCACTTGACTGTAAGATCACGCTGAAGTATTTTCTTATAAAGAGAATCCCAAGGAGATACACCTTTATACAGTATGTCCATGCAGACAGATTCCAGTAAACTGGGCATTGATGGTCAGCTTCATTTGTCGGTTTGTTAAAGCGTCAATGTATATCGTTGGGTATTAACCCAGCTGTTTTGAACCTGTTTCCTCTTGTGTTCGATCTATTTAATGACGGATTGCTAAAACTGAATTTTAATGAAATTACAGTTGTAGGTGCATTTCCCTAATAATGAAATATTTAAACTTCCTGGTTTTGGGGTCACAGATGGGGTTAATTTTAGTGTCTGCATGCCTCCAATTAATAGAGGTATCCTCTTAAAGCAGGTTTGGTTTACAGTAAACATGGAGAAAAAATCCAAAACATTGGTCAGCCTCTGCTTACAAAATTCTCTGTCATAGAATAAATCATTTCAAATATTTCTAATTATTCAAAGTTGTTGAAAATAATTACCTTGATTGTAACAAATTTGTTCTGCTAAGTCTTTGCGCTGCACGAGTTCATGCTGTAATGCAGCATTCAAAATTTGATAAGTTGCTGCAGAACCATTCTTCTGTTTCCAGTATATTAACATGTGGTATCCTCTCTCACACAGCTGCTGGTATCTTTGTTCTATATCCTGTAGTTCTGGCTCCTCGACTTCCAGACGACGCCCAAGCTTCATCCACTTTTCAGCAATTTCTTTGCCTAATTTCTCCAGTTCATCATCTGTTGGGGTGCCTTGTTTTACTAAAGGAAGGAATAAATTCTGTTACTGGGGTCTTGCCCATGAGATAAACATGAGCTGCTACCGTAACACCAATGAAAAAGAATAACACCATAGTATGATATATAAGTATGATACTGTATATAAACACAAACACACAACCACCCACGCACACCACCATAATCCTCTACTTGACTGCTCTGTAAAAGGACTACACTAAGCAACATGCATCACAAAGAACATCAGGGTTAACTTTCATCTACATCAACTTCACTTTGACAAATTGCCGTGCAACTTATTTTTCTATAACCACTCCTCATCTCCTAAAATTAAATCTCTTTCACAACATTTCTGATAATCTTGAATCTCCAATTCAACAACATTATTACATGACTGTATAATAATTAAAACTATATATATTGTATTAGGATTCTATTATATTCAATATGTCTAACAATAAACCTGCTAAGTCCACCGATGTAATTCTGGGTTTTTTAGGATCCTGGTAACTGCAGCCAGGTGACATTCTCCTCTTTCTTTCTCCTATGAAAAACGAGAATCACTTCGTGAATTTTACCGGGGCCACTTTTGCCTTGGTAACCCACGTTTAGACTAGCATGCATAAGGGTTGTTTACATCACCAAGTTTGTCGCGCAATATGAAAGTCTATTTTATCACAAATATTCTTTTGAGAAAAAAATTGTAATTCCGGAAGACTTGCTCCAATAGCACACGGTGCCCGCGTTTTTAAAAACTTTAGACGTAGTATAATCAATATCACTTTGTTTTTTCCGTATTTACGGGCAATTTTGGTGGATTTTCAAAGTTCTTGAAAGCAATTTAATCGGTTGCCATGGAAACTGTATTGTTTACACTTCATTTTCTGTTTTAGAAGACTGGTGACTAGTTTTCGGAATACAGGAGACACTTTAAGGATACATACACAACCTTGTTTTGGTAAATTTCGTAGTGTTAAACGAAACAAAAGGAGATTTGCGGGGCCCTGGAAACGAGACATTGAAAAAACGAAAGGAACAGACAGCATTTTATAACCGATTCCAGCCTTTGGCTGGCCCCGGTAAAGAGGATTTCACCTGTTAGGTAATTTCACTTATACCTTGGGACACTTCATCAATTAAAGCTTAAATTAGAACAAGAGTGAAAAAGCAGAATATCACTTGATGTGATAAAAAAGGCAGTACAAATTTAACAAATCAAAAACACTCAAACCAGAGATACAGAATGATTTAAGGTAGTAATCAGATCAATTAAACAGCGAGCCATTAAAAGTCATAAAATATTCTGAGGGGGAGAAGAATGCCTTACTACTGAAAGCATTGATGTAATGTAGTGAACAAATCAGATTTGAGAATTTTAAAAGTGCATGTAAAGGGTTAATAATAAGTGCATTTCTTCAGAGCAAGGGTGTGACATGCGATATTAAATTCATGAGATGTTATCCTAGCTTGCGTGTTATGTCTTAAAATACACTGGTGTCAATATTGTCAGTTATAAGTTAACAGTCTCAGGTATTATCTCCCCATTCTCATATTTAGGAGTAGCTTACCTAATGACATTGAATCACTGCTTGAGGCAGTTTGGACTGCACATAATGGCAAAGGTCTGGGCAAAGGAAAATTTGAATAACAAGGCTAGAAACAAAAGAAACAGATGCACTGTCAGAAGAACTCTTTTACTTGAACCTGGTTAACTCAAACCCCCACTAACTTAAACAAGACACAATTTCCCTTGCATTTGACCCCACTTTTCCAGTCATATACTAACAGCTAACTGAAACTCACTTAACTTAAACTAATTTGACTTTCCCTTTTCTCAAATTTACCCTTAATAACTGTTGGTTGATTAATATTGATTAATGTCAAATTGTCAAAACATAGCTGAACGTGACAACATATGAGGAAAATTAAACACATATAGCTTAACTAAACTTGTAAAAAATTAAGCTCTTATAAAACAGTCTAAATGTATGAAAATGACTGTTGATTGTGCAGGAATGGTAAAAACTTGATTCCTTAAGTTAATTATTAACAGGACACAAACTACAGTTAACTTCTACTGTTTTTTTGTTTCCCTTGGGAGTTTGAGTTGGTGGTGTTGCACTGTACATCAACATCACAGAATAATTCAAATGTGTGCAAAGATATTTTAAAGTTGCATGCCATTTATGCATTTCAAATTCCTCTTCCCTTAAGTGCACTGTCTTAAGAGCTAGGTCTATCAAAGTTATTGATAATTGATGGTCAGTGCTGGACTCAATCAGCTCCATGAGCCAGTCTGAGTGATTTAATTCTGATAAGCATGCAATGCCAAAGAAGCATAAATTTTAAGACAGATACATGAGTAAATACTACCCAGTAAATACTATAATGGAGAGTGTTATTTGAGGAGAAATCTGAAAAGGAAAAGAAATAACCACACAAAAACTGCCAAAAGACAAGCAGAAATGAAAACCACAATCAAACTCAGAAGAAGATCAAACTGAGACCAAACTGAAGGCAAAAAATAACTAACAAGTTTAAGGAAAGAAAGGATTAGTTATTCAAAGAGCAAATAAATTTGAGAAAACAAAGAGTAAACAAATAACTGTGGTTTGTTCACTGAACTTCATAGAAGAAGTGATTTTGATTTGTCTCAGACTCAGATTAAAAACAGCCAGAGTGTAAGGTGAGATGTTGCTAAAATTAATCATTCTGTAAAACTATTCAGAAGACATTTAATTTTAAAAACCCTACTCACGCAACATGGGATCAAGTGGTTTTGTACCCAAGATCGTCTCTTACCAAAATTCAATTGATTTGTACCCGGTTTGAGTTGGTTTGTAACCAAACTAGTGGTTGATTTGTACCCATCCCAATAAACATTCATTTGAAATACCTCACATGCAAGTGTCTGAACAGATGTCACTTGTTGTGTATAACAAGTAAGTGAAGTCAAGCGAGTAAGATAAAAAGAAAATTCTGTTGTGTAGAATATTAATGACTATAGCACAAGATGAATGTGATGTCTTTAATAGAACAGTGTGTTGTTTATACCTGTGGCTATTTTAACAATAACAACTAGTGCAAGAGTGATTTTTCCTCTCTTTAGTGGTTGCATGTCAAAAATGGATGCCACGTATATAAAACTTATTTAACGCGGGGAACATTGCTATTTAAAATAAGAAACCCACCTTACTTTAATCATATGTAACAATGGAAAACACACTTAACCTCAGAGGGTACAAAATGATTGGGTATGAAATAACCACACATGGGTACAAAATGACTGGTGACCTGCTAGATTATTTGATGTCAAAATACAACATGCAAGAGTAAAATTCTCACCTCATTTGCTGGTAAAGAAGCTGCAGACCCTCTGGGCATAGGGTATGTTGATTGTGTCAGAGTACTTGATGCTTGTGATGATGGAAGAGCTGGTACATTGGAAGGTCTGAATATTGCAGTAGAAGTGTTGACAGTTGACTCCCCTGCTGTCTGAGTCTCCCTCCTATTGTCCATAGGTAGCTGTGGAGGTTTGTTCACACCAGATGTCATGTGACAGTCTGTGGGGTCAGTTCTAGAGTCAAAGTGCACTGCAAGTGACTGTGAATTTTCAGTAACTCTCAAAGCTGATGACGAAGAACAAGAAGACGACATGGATGACACAGATGGAACAGTAATGTCTTGTGATGAAGGAGGATCATCAGGTATAACTATGACTTCTACAACATCAGATGACTCCTCCATTGTCTGACCACACCTATTACTCTCCATCAGTAGAGCAAGTGTTCTACTTTCCCATCAGGCATGTAAAGTGAAAGCTACTGGATCCCTGGAAAGCAGATAACAAAACATAAGGATACAGTATTGATTACAATTAATTCAAACTTAATTCTTTACTTATTTAGGAAATATAGGTTACCTGCCATAGGCCTTGTGGCCAAGTATTGCAGGAACTTAACCTGGTTTTTATCACAGGAACTTATAACCCCCCATTCCCAAGCCCCTTCCACAGCATAATCTATAATTTGTCAAGTGTTCCCTATGGATGATAGTTTTAGATATTCATTTATACTCCTGGGCAGAGCTTGACACTGTGGGAGGTAAGTGTCTCCTCATCCTCAACATACTGACTTGAATCCAGTGGTAAAATTGCCAGGTGGCAGAAATCCACATATATAATAATAATAATAATAATGATAATAATAACAACAATAAAATAATAGTGGGATTTAGCGGTGGACATTTCTTGAAATGGATCTTCTTGTCCACTGCTTTGGAATGTTGGCTTTTGTGGATGGATCAAGAAAAACCAGTGTAATTACAACTTCATGTTGTTTGTTGGAAAATTGATAGTTTATTTCAAAACTTTTTCTCAAAAAATATACTATGTCAGCCTTTTTCTCAGTTTTTAGAGCCTAAATAAATTTACTTAATAAATGCAAAAAGTGTCCATAATATGCATAACTGTAAAGTAATACAGGTGTATGTACTATGCCAGTGAGTTATTTATGATTCATAAATATAGGCCGAAAGAACACAAGAACAGCTTTGCAAGTGGTATTTTTCTTCAAGTCCAAACCTTGAAAGTATAGCACAACTTTAACCTGTTTAAGAGCATGTTTGCAAAATTAGCCATGGTCTTGGAAGGATAATAAATGGTTGCCATAGTCATATGATTTTAAAATTCTCTCATTTTTCCCAGGATTTTTCTTGAAAAATAGTAAAATTTCCATGACCAAGTGAATCAGCAATTTCATTTATAAATGCTGAACTCCCAACCTTCCCTCACAGCCATCCTCCCCTCCCTTAAATTTATGCTTTCAGCATGCTACATACAGTGTATATATGAACTGACAGTTCCTCTGGGTAACATGGAAAAGTTTTGATTTTCTTGGAAACACAACATCAACTTGTTGTGCAAATTTATTCACCAATATTATACACTTACAATCCAATACTTTTTATGTGCGTAAAATGTACCAGAGAATTTAAAATGTAAGTAAACAATGAAAATAGAGGGAAAAGGAAATGTATGATTTCATTCACAAATCAACTTGAACTTGCATTACAAAGGGAAAGGATATAGTGGTCAACAGTCTGTCAACTAGAAACATAAAGCATTTCCCTACTACAAGAGGGAAAGTGTTACCACCTTTCTTCATGAACAGGGCCATGACAAGATGAACAATTTCATATATTATTTACTTGAAATTTCAAATTTTTAAAGATATTTTTCTATGAAGTAATAATTCCCTTCAAATCTTTGAATGCCAGAAAAATTTAACCAAGAAAGTAAGCATGATAGTAAGTGCCAAGATTACAGAGGAGGCCATGTTATTTTATTAGATCACACTGTCTAAAGAAATTATGGGAAATATATAGTCAAAATGTTCCAATCTTTGCACAAATCTTGCACAACTCTCATAGTAAGTGCAGAACATGGAATTGCTTCACACATCTTAAACCTAAAACTATTAAATCATGCATTAAATTATAATCAAAGCTGGAAATGGCTATTAAATGAACTTGTCTATTAAAGAAATTTGTCTAATGTTATAAAAATTCACCCAAGCCCAAACGACAATAGCTTCAAAGCCTGGCACCTACTTCTACATGTCAGAGTATTAAATTGAAAGAATAACAAAGCGCAAATTATAGCAACAACAAAATGAATGTTTAGATTGATATTAGGAGAACCGGATCATGGGTGCTAATGATAGTTTCAACCAATAAATCGGCGGATACATGACAATGCTCATCAGACTTTAATCTTAACTTTTCTCAGCTGTAACCTTCAAAGGTTACTAGTGTAGCAGAGAAGACAATCCGAACGCACAATATAAATCACGGTTTAATCAAACAAAGTGAATAATCAAAATTACAAATGAAAATAAGGAGATCAGTGTGAAATCACAGACAAAGAGGGCAAAGTAGATTGAAGATAGCATAGTTACGATTGATGATAACGTTGTAGCTGAATTTGTGTGATTCGAACTAAAAGAAAATGCAGCAGAAACTAAACTAAGAAAATATCTCTGAGAAATGTAACGCTAGCCTAATTAACAATGAAGCGATTATAAAGTGAACTGAAAGCAAGAAATAAATCGATGTAAGTATCAAAAAAAAGAAATATCTTAAATGTGAAACAAAGAAAAATTTACTTTGGTCTAGCTCCTAATGATTGTAGATAAATTGCCAATAGCAGATTGTATGTGAATAGCAGACAAAATTGATGGTGTCGACAGCAACTTATAGCGATGAAATATGAAATATAATATCTGGTACCTGTGCTTAAATGAAACTGATTGAAATAAAAAACTTATTAAGTAATAATCATTAACCAATGAAGAAATAATAGACCGTAACAAGCATAACAGAAAAGTACACAAGTTAGGCGTTTCAAAACTAACATCAGCGACTACCCAACTCTGGAAGATTTCCTCTGAAGAGATACAAGACAACATTGACCCTATTTGTCATGACACTGGTACCATCCCAACAAAACCCTACAGATCCATGCAAATTTGCTTATGAGAGAAGATTGAGAAGAATGTACAAACAAGAAACTGCAAGAAAACTGGTCACAGCACTTGAAGACATTTTGAAACTTTCATTACCTTTTCCAATAATGTTATTCTATTTTCTTTACAAAGTGGCTTGGCTGGAAGTGTCAAATATGAATGAAGTTTTTGGCACACATCAACAGGCCTTTGACCAACTATCTACCAATAATTGACATATACTTGGGTAAAGGTAAAGCATCCATGACATATCAGTGGAATGTATTGACTTTTCTTGATCAAGATATTAGATAACTGTCAACTGATCATCGAGACTATCAACTATTGACTGACTATCGACCAACAACCAACTGATATGTTAACCACTATATCAATCATTCTATTGACCTGACACTACCTACAATAAACATGATCTGGAGAACCAATTTGCACCAATTTGGTTTTAAAAAGACAATTTGAAGTTTCTTTACCAACTAGTAATATATGCATGCAAAAATTTCAGCATGTTCATCTGCTGAGAATGCATTAACATACCTCAAACAGTGCAGAAAGTTGAAATTGAGTGCAGAAAGTTAAAGTAGAGTGACAACAAATTTTAATCAAATTGACCAACAAGAAAGTTGCAATAGCACATTAAAACCAAGCAGCAGATAGGTGAGGAGAATGTAACAACATTAAAAATTCAGAGTTTGGAGGAGAATGCTTGAAACAAAAACAACCCACAAAGCAAAAAAGAAAAACAACAACTGGCTAAAAGTCTGGAGGTCTTGGCATTTTAAAGATGGAACCAAAGTTAAATAGAAAAGAATGAACCAGGGGCCCTGAACAAAATTCTCGATAGTTTAATGCAACAGTTTGTAAGAAAGACAGAGAGGATTACAAGCCTGAGCCACTGTGCAGTGTTTACTGCTATTGACTGTACATAACAGAGAAAGAGCACAAATACCTGTGATTACATTATTTGTGAAAGAAGTTTAAAAGCTGGAAGCAAGTTCTTGAAGGATAGTGCAACTACTTCAGGATAAATCAGCAATAATAAATTCTCAAAGACTGAAAATTATTGTTAAGTCTTTTTTTGGTCATTGTATGTGAGTGTAGACAGAAAGTAAATGTTTGTGCAAAGTAATGTGTTAGAATATTCCAGAATGTTTTGAAATGTGCACGTGCTTAGTCACGTTCATGCTGATTTTAAAGACTGTTCAAGACTATATATACTCGTCATATCTTTACAGACTTTACAACTGGTGCTTGCGTCAAGCTGTTGATGTCATTTCTCGAATAATAAAAAATAAAGCTGTGTGTTGCAGAATACAAGTACATGCAGTGATCATCTTCGTATGCGAATTGATGAAAACGAGCACCGTGCTTATCAGTTGCTTTGCACTGATTGCCGAAACCGATTTGCATTTCTGATATAAACAAAGCCACTCCGTTTCGCCAAAAAGCTACTCCGTTTCAGCACGAGTAAAGACAGGGGAAATGTACTTGACGAAATCAAAACATAGCTAACGCTTGCCCTACTGCGGAAGTGATTTGTTTGCTTTTGTGATCTTGCACTTAAGCATAAACTCTCTGAAAGAACAAATCACTATAATTAAGCTTTGTGTATATATGTGCATATATACCTTGAAACTTCGCAAAACCAGTCGTGTACCGCTCTACAAATCGAAGTGCAAAGTCAATCAATCAGAATTCAGCTGAGATGAATCACCTTTGGAGTTGCCATGCGATCTGTCCGCCTCTGCCCAGTCCAGTTAATTTATTCAAAACTTGAGCTCATTCTAACCATGGTATGCAAGGGATGCCCGTGGATTTTTCTTTCTTTTTTCATTATGCAATTAAAACAAGCGGCTCAAATTTGGATGGAAGCAGTTTAGTTTGGGGTGGAGTACGAGGGATCTAAGAGGGGGTGAGAGGGGACGAAAGGGGGGAGGGGAGCTGAAGACCTGACGTTTCGTATTCTTCCATAAATACCGGAAACCCAGAATTTTTAAACGATTTAAGAGGCATGTGAGATATTATCTAAACCGCTGCGCAGTAAATAATTCATAAAAACAAGACAAACTAGATCAATAAGGGTCCAATAAAGATGGAGACGAAGTGTATTATAATTTTTTATTATTGTTTCAATGTATCTGCACCCCCACTCCCTTAGCCCTCGTCACGCTTACTCCGCGCTCCTCACTCCACCCTTCCTCGGGCGTTCTTATGTATTAAACAATTTACTACTACGCCTTTCCCGATTGTGCTCGTAAAATGCTGGAAACTTGCTCACTGGAATGCCAAAGAATAGCGAAAAAAGATACCA